TAGTTCTTAAGGTTATCAATGGTTCCTAGTTATGAAGGTTATCAATGGTTCCTTGTTCTGAAGGTTATCAATGGTTCCTAGTTCTGAAGGTTATCAATGGTGCCTAGTTCTGAAGGTTATCAATGGTTTCTAGTTCTTTAGGTTATCAATGGTTCCTAGTTCTGAGGTTATCAAGGGTTCCTGGTTCTGAAGGTTATCAATGGTTCCTAGTTCTGAATGTTATCAATGGTTCCTAGTTCTGAGGTTATCAATGGTTCCTGGTTCTGGAGGCTATCAATGGTTCCTAGTTCTGAAGGTTATCAATCAATGGTTCCTAGTTCTGGAGGTTATCAATTGTTCCTAGTTCTGAAGGTTATCAATGGTTCCTAGTTCGGAGGTTATCAATGGTTCCTGGTTCTGAAGGTTATCAATGGTTCCTAGTTCTGGAGGTTATGAATGGTTCCTAGTTCTGGAGGTTATCAATGGTTCTTAGTTCTAAGGTTATCAATGGTTCCTAGTTCTGGAGGTTATGAATGGTTCCTAGTTCTGGAGGTTATCAATAGTTCCTAGTTCTGGAGGTTATCAATGGTTCCTAGTTCTGGAGGGTATCAATGGTTCCTAGTTCTGAAGGGTATCAATGGTGCCTATTTCTGAGGTTATCAATGGTTCCTGGTTCTGAGGTTATCAATGGTTCCTAGTTCTAAGGTTATCAATGGTTTCTGGTTCTGAGGTTATCAATGGTTCCTAGTTCTAAGGTTATCAATGGTTTCTAGTTCTGAGGTTATCCATGGTTCCTAGTTCTAAGGTTATCAATGGTTTCTGGTTCTGAGGTTATCAATGGTTCCTAGTTCTAAGGTTATCAATGGTTCCTAGTTATGGAGGTTATCAATGGTTCCTAGTTCTGGAGGGTATCAATGGTTCCTAGTTCTGAAGGGTATCAATGGTTCCTAGTTCTGAGGTTATCAATTGTTCCTTGTTCTGAAGGTTATCAATGGTTCCTAGTTCTGAGGTTATCAATGGTTCCTGGTTCTGGAGGCTATCAATGGTTCCTAGTTCTGAAGGTTATCAACGGTTCCTAGTTCTGAGGTTATCAATGGTTCCTGGTTCTGAGGTTATCAATGGTTCCTAGTTCTAAGGTTATCAATGGTTTCTGGTTCTGAGGTTATCAATGGTTCCTAGTTCTAAGGTTATCAATGGTTCCTAGTTATGAAGGTTATCAATGGTTCCTTGTTCTGAAGGTTATCAATGGTTTCTAGTTCTTGAGGTTATCAATGGGTCCTAGTTCTGAGGTCATCAATGGTTCCTAGTTCTAAGGTTATCAATGGTTTCTAGTTCTGAGGTTATCCATGGTTCCTAGTTCTAAGGTTATCAATGGTTTCTAGTTCTGAGGTTATCAATGGTTCCTAGTTCTGAGGTCATCAATGGTTCCTAGTTCTAAGGGTATCAATGGTTCCTAGTTATGAAGGTTATCAATGGTTCCTTGTTCTGAAGGTTATCAATGGTTCCTAGTTCTGAGGTTATCAATGGTTCCTGGTTCTGGAGGTTATCAATGGTTCCTAGTTCTAGAGGTTATCAATGGTTCCTAGTTCTGAAGGTTGTCAGTGGTTCCTAGTTCTGAAGGTTATCAATGGTTCCTAGTTCGGAGGTTATCAATGGTTCCTGGTTCTGAAGGTTATCAATGGTTCCTAGTTCTGAATGTTATCAATGGTTCCTAGTTCTGAGGTTATCAATTGTTCCTTGTTCTGAAGGTTATCAATGGTTCCTAGTTCTGAGGTTATCAAGGGTTCCTGGTTCTGAAGGTTATCAATGGTTCCTAGTTCTGAAGGTTATCAACGGTTCCTAGTTCTGAGGTTATCAA